AACTATTTCTAACGATGTCTCTTTAAAAATGTGTCATTTGTTCAAATGTCAGGGAATTTCACCAAAATTTGTCAGGGAAATCAGCGAAATGTCAGGGAATTTCATTTTCCAAATTCTGTCGCAACCCTGGTCTGGACCTTCGAGTTGATGAAAATCCGAAGAAACCCAATCCACATCTCCGCGATTTTCACGTTGCATAGCGCAAGCCGACTTTTCCATTCTCGAGACCCCTTCTCGCGGCCTCCCCATTTCGAAAACCCGTTTTGGGGCCCTCCCTTTTTCGCATGCGACTGATGGTTATGACGTGCCGCGCGGGCCGCGTGGTCTAGAAGTTTCTGCATCGTTGTTGAGAAAAAGCCATATTTAAAATTCTAATTTGTATTGATCAGAGCTCGCAATTGGACGTATTTCTGCCAAACGGAACTATGTGCATTAAGACATGAACCCTGAGACCCATAAGAATACATGCATAACAGGGCTCACGTCATAATGCACATAGTTTCGTTTGGCAGAAAAACGTCCAATCGTTGGTCCATAATGCAATTTGACGCCTTTATTGAAACAAGACTGAACTGAACGTCCTCTTTAGCACCTTCAGCCAACTTTAGATTGTATTTTATTATCCGTAGACATTAAGGGATTGTCACATCCATGCTCCAGGCGTTTCAAATTTTTAGGGATTGAGGCCCAGTTAGAATCTTTTTCTAAACTCGTTAGCTCCGTAAAAGTTTGACGCTCCTACGGGGATTCGAACCTGGGACCAAAATCAAATTTTCTAACCCGAAGTAACGAAAATCGCCCCCGTGAAAATGTCTCCTTTCTAGACTAAGATTTCTTTAGCCATGAATGGTCTCATTTCGCCGCTCTTCTAACGTAAAGATGTATCTCAATTCTCACGCAAAATTCCCTTAAATTTCCCGTAAATTTCGCTCGGCGTAAATTCGCGAAAACTCAATGCTTTCCAGGGCTGATGTGGAAATAGAGATACACCCTAACGTCAGAGGAGCTTTGTTTTTAGACAAATTTGAAAAATCAAGGCAGAGTGAGAAATAACACAATGTCACTATGAGGCCATTTCGACGCCAGTGCTTCTGCCTATTTTATTACCAACTGTTTTTTTCTCAGGAGAGGTTCTGATTGTCAATGATTTGCCACAACATACACACAGAATGCAGAAGACTGTTTTAACATGTGTCAAATACTCACGCTCATTTCGTAACAATTTTTTACGTTCCCCGCCCGCTTTTTTTACAACATTCAATCCGCGTTTGACAAACAGTACGTGAGTGAAATTTACAACTTACCAATCTCATCAAGACTCATTGTCCTCTCTCTTTCGTTAAAATTACAAGTGAAAATTTTGTAGTCTCGCAGTCTTGTCATCAAAAACTCATGAAAAAACCTCACAGAAATGTTCAGTGAATTCTTTTATAAAATGGCATTTAAATTTTCTCGGACACGTTTACTCCTTGTTTCTTATCATAAGAGTGCACGGCTGCTTTGTATAAACAGAGCCACATTTAGGGTCGTAATTACACACGCAAATGGCAAGATTTATCAGGTTTGCTCGGTCCTCGGTTTTTTCTCCACGGGTTGTATTTTTTAAAAATAATGGTATAAAATTTGCATAGGTGAATTGTTTTTGCTTGCGCGTTGGATTTTGACGTTTTTTTCACTTTGCCCTCTAAAAAAATGGGCGAAAGACAGAAAAAATCGGACCAAGATAATTCGTCTTACCGAGAAAAGAGATTGGTAGAATTTACCACGCTGATTTACCACGCGATTTTACCACCCTTCACGCTGTATTTTACACAGCGTGAATTCAAAGTCGATTCTGCCAGAGGAATTCCACCTGTACCAGTATATAGTAACGTTTACCTTTTTTCTTGCAGAATTGACTCTGAATTGACGCTGTGCGAAATACAGCATGACGGAATGGTAAATTCGGTTATAGGACATTGCGTCAACGATTTTTTGTCCGCGCGCCTGTTTTTTCCAGTAATTTACGTCCACGTGTTTTTTCGGCACGGGAGTTTTGGTCCACGTGCCAGTTGAGACCCAAAGTTAATTGGCCCACATGTAAGTACAAACGACAATTACTCACGACGTTTTTGGATGAAAATGTATAATGTCTTGGAAGAATGAGGGTTTGCTTGTTTTTTGTTTTGTCTGTTTGGTCCAACGGAGAATAATATATAGTTGAGAGTTTTGGTAAAAATGGGGGAGCGTCAATTTCATGAGACAAAATTTACTAAAACTCTCTACACCTCTTTGGTGTAACAGGACTTAATTATCTTTCAAGAAATTCCCACCTTGTTTTACCTGAACCGGATGAACCTCTATATGTGCCTCAGCTAAAGGCTCTTAGATTTTTCCTGTGTACGATAAGTATCTTGATTTATTTTGCGAGGAAAGATCTGTAGTTTTAAAGGATGCCTGTCATTCTTAATACGTTCAATTTCGTACAATACTGTGCATCACCTCTGTTGTGAAATAGTTGCTTCAGGCGCCGCCGAATGGTGGGCGGGCGGCCAGCGCGAAACGCGCATTGGCGCCTACAAACCTAAGTGGATACTTCAAGCATTGTGCAATGCGTGAAGTATCCACTTAGGTTTGTAGGCGCCAGTGAGCCTCTCGCGCTGGCAGCACGCCGCGCCGCTCCGCTCTGTTAGGCTTTAATATTTATACTCGCATAGTCAGCGTTTTTTTAACTCATGATTTTGAAATGTTTGCACACTCTGCATTGATTATTCTCATTATTTTGATGGGAAAAAAATATGTATCAATTTATCAAAGAAGAAAAATATTATAATGTGTATTTTTTAAATATTGGTGGTTCCGTGTCAAATTTAATAATTTCCAAAGTACTTTAATTTTTTCATTTACATTTTGTGCTTTTATTGTGCTGCAGTGAGGTGTACGCGCAACCAAACGCTCAAAATTTTACGTATTTGACTCTAAAAGATCGATGTACAAATGGGTTAAAACTAAAGATTGTGTGCTTCTTGGTTTTTTTTTTTTTCGTCTTTTATTCATTATTGCAGTTTCTGTCGGCAAAACTGCGGCTCATTGAGATTAATTTCGCTTGGAAAAGGTTTTACAAATATTTGTCACGTTTTAAAAATATAAATGTTTTCAAAATAAAGTAAAATTGAAAAAAAAAATAAAAAAATAAAAAAATAAGATTCCTACAAAAATGAGTACAATGTCACAAAATATCAGTATAGTATGCAGGTAACCCTCTTCAGAAGAAAATTCAGTTAGTACGATAGGTACAGCCTGCGTTAGGAATGATAGGATTAGTTTCTTACGAAACCGAATCTCCTGCACCCCATAAGTATTAATACAACGAAAAACCCCGCAACATGACAAGAAAAGTATAGGTACACCTTGTTCGAAAAATAAGCATATTTTCATGAAATCCCAGGAAAAATTATAAAAATATTCTGGCAACCTAATAGAAGTAAAAGAAATACCGCTTTGTAACCAGACCCTGTCAATTGTGATTTTAACGGAGCCGAATTTTGTATTTGTTTCAGACCTCGCACAAGGAACCCTGAACCAAGCGAGGACACGATGCTCCTGAAACTATACTCGATTTTCGTCCTTTTGCTGGACATCACAGCCCTCATCATCAAATCCATTATTGCTCTCTTTGAGACACTCTACGGTAAAATTGTACCCGCCCCGGAGAAGTCTGTCGTAGGAGAGGTCGTCCTCGTAAGTATTCATGCAGTCCCCGAGCAAAATACATCTGATTTAACCCGGATCTAACTGGAATCAGCCTACCTAAATTTTACAATAAAAAACAATATAAAAAGCCGGTAACAAGGCTAAAAGTTCAGAAACAAGACCAAAACGTTTCGGCTGAAAATTCAGCCATCCTCAATTGAACCAAGTTTAACAGAAAGGAACCAAGCCACATCAGCCATTGCCAAGTTTAACTGGGTAATTAATTTTTTTACGAGAGAACGTGTGTTCGGATTTCTCCGAAAATTTTAAGGAATTTGCTTCGTACCATGGAGAATTTTTACTGAAATTTGCACGAAAATCTGCACCACCGTTTTCATGTAAAAAATTAAATGGACCACTAGACAAGGTACGAATTTCAGCATTCTGATACAGGCTTCTTAACCGAAATTTCACGTAGAACACGATGCACACAACAAAAACTACCGAAATCAACTCCTTACGAAGAAATGAAATGATTCTTGATGCGTGAATTCAAACCACCCGCTCATGAAAACTCAATGCTCTACGTGATTCTCATCGCGCGCTAAACGTCATCATGACAGTCTCTGCGATTTAAAAATCTGGCAACCTCAATCTTGACGCTTTGGCTCAGTTATAGCAAATTGCTTATAGTTCGAACAACACATGGTGGGAAATGAACGTTTGCTCGATTGAGAGGCTCGCTGAAACCGTTGTGGTGCGCGATTTGACTTACGTAGAGCTTTGAGTTTCTTGTGAGCGGGCCTTTCAAATTCCTCGTAACCAATGTTTTCACATTGGTTTTTATTTCTAAAACACATTGGTTTTTATTTCTAAAACACATTGGTTTTTATTTCTAAAACACATTGGTTTTTATTTCTAAAAACGTTAATATCGACGGTGAAAGTCGGCAATCACATAACTCGGTTTGCGACGTCGCAGACTTCCTGTCATACTTTATTTTTTAAACGGAAAACTACTCAACGGTAATTCTTTAAAACTGCCGTGATTTTTCCTCTATGTGCGAGGAAAATTCTGCAAAAACTTCAAGGAATCATGTCCATTTGTTCTCCTTTAAAAAAATAACATAGTTGCAGAGATTTTCAGACACCGCAAACGAGTTATGTGATTGCCGACTCGCACCGTCGATATCTTCCTTAGCAGTTGATTTCAGTAATTTTCGTTGCGCAAATCTTGTTTTGCGTGAAATTCTGCTTCGGAAACATCTATTAGAATGCTTGAATTCGTACCTTGTCTAGTGGTCCATTGCCCGATTAAATTTGGCAATAGTTGATGTGGCTTGGTTCCTTTCTGTTTAACGTGGTCCAATTGGATAAATAAAAATAAAAATGGTAAAAAATCTAAAATAGGACCCGACTGTACCTTTCAAAAGGAGATCGTTGTCATGACAAAAATTTTGATGACACCTACCAACTGAGGATGACTGAATTTTCAGCCGAAACGTTTTGGTCTTGTTTATGAACTCTTAGCCTTGTTACCAGCTTTCAAATTGTTTTTATTGTATATTTTGTCACGGGCTGCGGAGCATGTATCATAACTATACTTAACATATACTATATATAATATAACATATATATAGTATAACATATACTATATACTATACATAACTATACTTTACGTCGCCCAACTGTCCGCAAAAGCCTTAAATACGTCCATTTTTTTAAAGAGAGAACTGAACTATTCGACGCCTTTAACTATATCTGTGAATTGGACCGCGTTTAGCAGGAAGGAACCAAGCCATATCAGCTATTGCCAAATTTAAGTGGGGAAATTTAATTTTTTACAAAAAAACGTTTGTGCGGATGCCTTTGAAAACTTCAAGGAATTTGCTTCGTATTATACAGAAAATTTACTGAAATTTGCACAGAAATCCGCACACACGTTTCCATGTATAAAACTAAATCGCCCAATTAAATTTGGCAATACTTAGCTGATTTGGCTTTGATTCCTCTCTGCTTAACGCGATCCAATTTACCCTAGATTAAGGAGAATATACCTACTCACAAAATTTCAAGTTTCGATGTTGTTCAGTTCTGTGCTTAAAAAGTAAAACATCTGAGATAATTAAAAACGCCTCGTGTTGTTAGGTTGATGCCGTTCATTCGTTCATTCACAGCCAAGTAAGATTTTCCATTGAGATTCTTCCAACATAAGCCAAGAAAATTCCGGAGAAAATCTGAGAACATAACACTGTTTAGCTCTCGGCTGAAAAAACAAAACATCATGAGAGAGGATTAGGCGAATTGAAATTCAATTAGGTCCACTCTGGTCAAAGCTGTTCATGTAACTCAAGAAGATGACAAACCTCTTGAGAAGTCAGAAAATTTTGCTATGTATCTAATTTGGAGGTTTATTCTGCCGTACGAAGGAAGATCACCGTATGAATCTTCAGACGTTGCCAAATTTCCTTTGATAAAACACGAATTTCCTGGTAGACGTATGAATATTTTTCAGATAATTATTTTGTTCACAATTTCACCTAAAGCCCCTGAGAATTTCAAGGGAAAATATGCATATCTTTCCTCCAAAATTAACATTTTGTTAAAAGAAATTTGGCAACTCTCAAATGTTCATACGGCGTTTTTCTTCAGCACGGCAGCATTGTCTTGTTGAAATGTTTGCTAAACTCCGATCGTTGACGCTCTGTCGCAGCTTGCAGCAAAGAGTCGTTCGCCTTCATTTATGCGATTAGGCAAAACCACCAGTCCTCCACCTCGCGCTGTACGCACACGCGCGTCAGAAGAACCGCATCCAAGACGATCGACCTGGCGATGACTGAACTCGAAAATCACGAACCTCCTGGAATCTCTGACGCATTTTCTTATCCATTTCGAGGACTCAACTTTCTATTTAATGAATCTTCGTCCAAAAATCATCCAAGATTTTTTTAGAGTTTTGTTCTCACCTCAATTCCTCCTTCAGATTTCAGGGACAGGCCATGGAATCGGACGAGAACTTGCATTCAAATTCGGCTCTCTGGGGTCGATAGTCGTGTGTGTGGACATCAACAAAGAAGGCAACGACGCAACTGCGCAAGAAATCATCAATCGGGGAGGCAAAGCACATGCGTACATGTAAGTTTTCTAGTACTGTTTTTTGAAAATATTTTTTTAAAAGTAAATTTTGAAAAATATTTGGAATGTTGAATTTAGAATTTATGATTCTCGTATTATACCATAAAATGAACTACAAGCTGCTTTGTTTACAAAATAAGCTAATGACGGTTGATGGATAGAAAAACTGTCTGCGGTCCCAACTATTAGTTTTACCAGCAAATGGAAGGTTTTTTGACCATTTTGGAAGCTCGATGCAAGTTGTTCCAAATTTCTGCCTCAAAAGCATAGTTTCAGGAAATAGTCATTGGGGCCATTCAAGTATTACGTACGTGTAATGCACTTTTTCCGATTTTTTTTACCCTCATCCTCCCCCTCCCGCCTTGTAACGTAGCCCTACGCCTCCCTTCTGAATTACATAATGTTGATCCGACCTCCTACCCCTCCCCCCACCCAAAAACAATCAAGAAAACAGCTTGAAAAAAATTCTGCGTTTTTTTTTGGGAGGGGAAGGGAGGGAGATATTTCACTGAAATACGACGGGAAGAGATCAACAAGGTGTGAAAATACATTATCAGATTTGTTTTACTCATGATGGTACCGAAAAAGTGCACAGATAATATTTGAATTTCCTTATAATTCTGTTGCGCGGGCTGGGTCACGCTCTGAAAAGATTCATTTGGGTGAGGCGGGATTTTCAATATTTTGCACGTTTTTTTCAAAGTTTTTTCCCCCTGGCTCGGATTTGTTACGTAACGCTGGGCTTGACCCCCTCTCCCCCTTGTAACGCACCGTAACGCTTGCTTAANCCCCNNNNCCCCCTAAGTGTGTTACGTAATACTTATTGAACGGTCCCATTCTATGTTTTAACGAGCTGTATTAACAGCTCAAATCTGTCGGATTATAATGTATTTTATGCCCTTTCATCGCCTAAAAATCGTCTGAAGTAAATATTGGCATCCCATTATCCATTCTTCAAGGAGAATACTTTTCACTGATAAGGTTTTACTGCCCTCAAAAATCGTCCTTATTGTGAGTCCGTTTTCCTATGGATTAGTTACTTAATAAGACAACATCAATATTCCAATTTTGTAAAATCACGTCAACTTTCACAAAAGCAAGATATACTGCACACGTTTTTAACTTAATACAAACGGCCAATGAACAGCTGTATGAGCGCTATCCAATTTCGATAGTGAAACTTCCAAACGGCGTATCTCGGTTTGCGGCGTTGTAGACTTCCTATCGTTTTTCATTTTTGAACGAAGAACTATTCAACGTCAAACCCTCAAAACTTCCGTGATTTTTCTTCTCTGTGCGAAGTAAATTCTGAACAATTTTCAAGGAATGATGTTCATTTGTTCTCCCATAAAAAATAAAATGGGAGCAGAGATTTTCAAACACCGCACACGAGGTATGCGGTTTGGTAGTTTCACCGTTGATTTGTGTTCAATTTTATCTTTCAATATCATTTATGTAATTTGTTTCATTTTCAGATGTGATGTGTCTAAAAGAGAAGAGGTCCAGAAACTCGGCGAAAAAATCCGGAGAGAAGTTGGCAATGTTACCATTTTAGTCAACAACGCAGGTATCATGCCTTGTCATCCCTACGAAAAATCAAGTGCTGAAGAAATTCGTAAAATTTTTGATGTCAATGTTTTCGCACATTTCTGGGTGAGTCTCCAAAAAATATTGAAAATCAATGTGTTTTAAAAATGAGTCTCCCTGCTACTATGTATCGATCAATATAAAAATCATTGTCAAAAGATGAAATGTAGTTTTCAAAGATGGTGCAATTCCATAATGCAGGAATTAATATGATCAATAGATCATAATTCATAACACCCTGTTCATATTTGCATCATGATATGATCTGTGTAACAATTGCCAGGAGGTCACTGATCTAGTTGCATAGGAAAATAGTGATGTTTAGTTGTGCTTTAACATTATAGGGGTTTTGAATTGAAAGAAAGAAGGAATTTTTAAGACCCATACTTTTTAAAGCTCTGTAATTATTTGTCTCTTCTACGATTTTTAATGGTGACTAGTCCAAACAGTAGGGATGTAAAGCTATTGTAAATAATTAGATCAGTCTTTCCTGGTAGAAACATGACTTACGTTTCATATCAGTATTCAACAATGTATAAAACATTGAAATAATGTTTTCTTGCTGTTAAATTTGAAAGAAAATTAGAAAAGAATGAAATGAAAATTGTAAATGTGTCTCAATAGTGTAAAAGTTTTTCACCCAGAAAGAAGTTTTTACCTTCATAAATTTGGGTGGTTGTGTAGTTATTGACGTACGATTAATTAACACTGGACTCACGTATGTTATAATCAATTTTTTTCCAGATGTTGGAGACATTTTTACCCAGTATGATTGAAAACAACCATGGCCACGTAGTAGGAATCTCATCCATTGCTGGAGTTCTTGGTCTAACCAACCTCGTGCCATACTGTGCATCCAAATTTGCTGTCAGAGGTAAGTTTCCTTTTCATTGTCTATGCAAGCAGATTAGATTTCAGTTTGGAAAGAGCACCTTTCTCCTTACCTTGAATGGCAAAGCCTCTGGACAACAACACGGACCCAATTTTTTGGAACTGGGCTTATGGAGTCATTGTTTAAGGTGATTCAATGGACGACATATTTTGTGTCAGAACAGCATGCGATATATCGCATCAATTGGTTCCATTTTTTCAGCTACTCGTCATTTTCCTCCAATTTTGAGACCGCAATCTGTTGTCAGGAGACTAAAGCACTCACTTACCAATTTTAACAGAGGAATTAAACGTAATACAGGCGTGGTTTTTTCAGAGAGAAAACATCGCATTCGATACTGATATCGAAACTGCACTCGAATGCGATATTTTCTCTCTAAAAAAACCACGCCTTTATTACGTTTACTTTCTTTGTTAAAATTGGTAAGTGAGTGCTTTACTCTCCTGACAACAGAATTGCGATCTCAAAATTGGAGAAATCTGATGAGTAGCTGAAAAAATGGAACCAATTGATGCGATATATCGCATGCCGTTCTGACACAAAATATGGTGTCCATCGAATCACCTTAACCGTCATTGCCCAGGTTTCCAGCCCAAGAAACTGTCTCTGCCTACTGCAGCAGAAAACTTTCTGCACAGTTTTACTATCATTCGAGAACATGTTTTAAGTATGACTGTCTTGGGGTGGGACAAGGCTCCATGGCGCACCGATACAATTTTCTTAGGAGTGCAATCTTGCCATGTTTCTTTAAAAAAAGCATATGAGAGAGGAGAGATTGTACAGGAGAGAAAAAATACTAGATAGGATGAGGAAACACTCCCTAATATCCCATAGAATAAATTAGTGGCAGTTTGATTCACGTCTGCCCTACTAGAGGGCAAAAATTTGTCAGGGATTCCATCACTGAAAGTTGTAAAATTTGTTAGCTTAACTTAATTACCTTGAATTTTTACAGGATTAATGGAAGCTATTAATGAAGAATGCAGGGAAGATGCACGCAACCTACAAGTCAGATTCACAACAATTTACCCATACATGGTTGATACTGGCTTGTGTCAGAAACCAAAAATCAGGTAATTGCATTGTACCAATTTTAACCCTCTACGGCATGAATTAATTTTGGATCTTAGATTCTGAGGGACACGAATCCATTTTGTGGCTTGCATAAAAACCTAGAGAACCAAATTTTTCAGAATCGTTTATTCAAAAATAGAAAAAACTAATGAGAATTTGCAAAATCCTGCCTCAGGGGAAAGGTTCAATTTTTAAAAATCCAAAGAATATGTTGTTACGAATTTGTAACGCTATGCAATAGAGGGTTAAAATATTGACCATCATGCATATCATAAAGATTAGGTGAAAGGACCTTTTTGAAAGTTTTATTATTGTTGCTTGTCTGATGTTACGTGGGAACTGAGGTAAGCCTTTCTATCCTTAAAATTGAGCATCCATTTTAAAGTCGCTAGGTCAGAGGTGAGCATTAAGAAAGGAGGAAATTCCATTGTCCTTTCCTTTTGCAATGAGCAAATATCTTCGTCTCCTGCACAAAGAAACAAACTTTGTCTGTGCTGTTTTAGTATCTCTACGAGCATTTTATTTTTCCATGGGAGAACTGTCACACTAACTTGTCTGAGCTCGTCTGAATTTTTCTCGCAAATGTAGAGGTAAATCTCTAGAAATTCCAGAAGAATGTATGTATGTGACAATTTTCCGGAAAACAAAGAGTAAGATATTGGAACAGCACAATTGCTGCACTGTCTTTTGTGCAGGATACAACAACATGTACCTCATTTAATGGCTAACATGAATCATTAACAGTCTAGCCGCACCTATACTTTACCAGGAATATTTGTCAATATTATCTTGTGTTTCTGGTTGAACTGCATTTGTGACAGTAGTAATCAGTTAATACCATAATATTTCACTACTTACTCATATTTTATAAGCCTTTAATGCATACAAAAATTAACATTTCTGGTTCAAGCTTTTTTGAGCAACCTTGACAAGGGGACAGGTTGAGTTTAAACTACTGAGCTTTGTGTCGAAGCTCTCATGAGTAAAAATAGGTAAAAAAAGCCCGTAAGTTAGTAACCATCAATTTATCTCTCTTTTTATGTAAAGAACGTTTTTGTACAATGTGCTTTGTGGAATGTAGTTACAAATATTCTTTGACAGATTCACTTAAATATGTGATGCGAAAGAGACCATCTCAGTAGTAAGTTTCTCATCTAAAAATTAAATTTGTCTTTTTCTGAAGTTTTAATCCTTTTAACTACTGTAATCCACATATTTTTTCCTTCTATTTTGTAGGTTCCCAAGTCTTCTTGGATTACTGCCAGTTCAGGTGGCTGCCGCACATATTGTTACTGCCGTCAGACGTAATGTTGAAGAAACATCTATTCCTAGTAGTTTGTTAATCATCAACAACCTATGCAGGTACGCATTTGCATCAGTAGATCATCACAATAGTAAATGTTAACATTAATAGCTCACATTTAGAAGAAAGCTAAGAGGATTATAGTCTATTCAAGGAATAGTGGTGGAGTCAGGTGAGCGGCTTGATGTGTTGTTTTAGGGTTGATTTGTTTAGATGACCTTGTGTTGTAAAAATAAGCAAAGGTTGTAAGATGAAAACCTCTAAATAACACCCCAAACCTATCACAGACAGCGCCCATCAGCCACCCTCTTTACATGGCATAAACCATAAATTCAATATCCGCACTTACTTTCTAACAAGGTAGATGCACAATAGTGAGAATCTACTTCCATTCCAAGAATTTCCAGGATACCCCTCCAATTTTCAGCCTTCAAAAATCCCTTATATGTGAGGGCCCACAAGAAGTGTAACCTTAAATATGTAAAGAACTTGTCGGAGAATGCGATTTTTGTCTTGTTTGATTGAAATATCAGATTTGTGCTTTGGTGAGAAGCACTCTCTTAGACCCCATAATAAATCGAGAGTTGTTAAATGCATTGTTTCTGTGCTACAATCAAATGCAAAATTACAATATAATTGCACAGTGTTTAAGTCTTGAACATTACATATCAATATTTTTAAATTGAATCTACTGTAGTAGCTAGTTAACATTGAAATATCGAAAAAATTCCGCTAAAATACTGGTCCCCATTTAAATTTTTAGCAGGAAATGGATTCATGTTTGGATCCATGGAAGCATGTTGCAACTGTTCATTCCCAAAAAACTTCATTTGTAAAACCTAAGTCGAAGCTGAAAACAAAATAATGCAAAAATCAACGGTTTGATTAAACTAATTGAATGCAATATTTTCAGCTTTATTCACTTCAGCTCTAGTTGTGGTTTACGTAGTGGAATCTTGTGAAAGAAACACCTGAAATGTGTGTCGTCCAGGTCTAATAGATCCGTATTATTTATTTTTTTTTATTTATTTATTTTTTTTTTTATAAAAATTCAAAATGAAACTAGCATTTTAGTTAAATTTATTCAAAACCTTGATGTTTTTTTACCTCCAGATGAGACTCATCTTAAATTTTTATTCCTGGAGGTTTTTTTTTTCATTTGTTATTTTTCCGATTTTTACAGATTGCTCCCGATCAAAGTTTGCAGACTCCTGAAAGATTTTCTTGACAGTGGTGTTGAATCTCATGATTAATTTAGAGCTGGTTGTGGCAAAAACTCTACGAAGCTATGATTAACAATTCTTGTTCATTTCCTATCATCGGGATTTATGCTGACTACTCCATCCTGTGCATCCTTTTTATTTTTCTAAACCAACATCAGAACAAAACTAGTATGTATTCTTGAAAATTGAATACAGGGTAGTCATGTAATGATTCTCATATGCAGAGGCATACGATTCCCTCTCACGGAAGATTCCTAAAAAGCATTCAAATGAAATTTTATGGTAAAATTTGGTGCTATTGATTTTTTTGGAAAAGAGTGAAGGTTTTTTTTTATGGAAAAGAGGCACCTCATACACACTTAAGATTCAGACTCGTTATTTTTAATTGTCTGTTACAGGTGTATTGTGCTCTCTCAGTTTGAAGTTAAAAACTTTTAATTTATATTGATAAAATAATGGATCAGGAGCGTAAATAGAAAGTAGTTAGAGTAACACTCTCAAAAAAGTTACAAAAATAAAAAAAAAATTCATGTCCGGAAAAATTAAATTTGAGAATGATTTGCACAATATTCAGGATGGCTTTATGTCCAGGGAACCTAGTGATTCTCATCCTTTTTTGTGACTTTCAAGGACATATCTGCCTATCTTGAGTGAAAAAATGTATGATTAGGTTTTGTTTTTTCAGTTGTGTTCAAAACGTAAAAAGCCTTGACAATATTTTATGTGCTTCTTTGGCCTCTCATCGCAGCTTACTTTTTGTTTGCAGATTCTCATTTCTCAAAAGTTGAAAGCTTTTTCCTCTGAATGCTTCTAAAGCATTCTCCTTTTTCTTTAATATATTGATCAGGTACGAATTTCTTAAATCCAGTGATCCTTCCATCTAGGATAACACGGCTGAATTATAATTTTAGCCTGAAAGTTGTAAATCTCATTGAAAAAGACACTATTTTTTTTTTTTTTAAATTAAAAGAAGATCTTCTTCCATCATTTACATTTTTCAAAACTACATTCAGGCAAAAGTGATCTGTAATATTTTCATCACAACAACAAACATTGGAATTTTAAATTCTTTCTTACTGCTCGGAAGCAAGTAAGATCACCATTCTATTACCTATTTAGGTACAGTTTAATCTGTGATTCAAAACATTAAGTAAGTACTTAATTCTCTTGCACAGAAATCTTTGATTTTTGTTTCTATTATGTTTCATAGTCTCTTTTTCTTCCTCCTCCCCCTCTTTTCCTCCAGAACCTGAAAGGTTTTGTAGTCGGAAATGATGAACTTTTGTTATTATTTCCTTGACTTACCGTATTTAGTTTGTAATTTTCCTGTTAGCTTTTTAATCACTATGTAATCATACTGTCTTTTCAAATTACGATTTGATTTTTCATTCCTCAGGGTATCTTCAAATCTACTGCTATGACTTAATGCTGTGAGTACTTAAATACGTATTCCTTCAAAAGACTGAAGAATAGGATTGCACTCTTGACTTTTCAGTTTTCTTGGGCGGAGAGTAAAATTAGTTGGAGTAATGCACTGAGAGTATTTTTATCTTGAGCATCAAGGAAAGAAAAGTCTTTTCTTTCCGTGCTTGTAGTTTTATTTTTTGTTCAGTGTATGTACGTTCCAGACTACGAGTCCATCCTCAAACCTATATCACGATCGCAAGTATTCGCTCAAGTAAATGAATTTTGCCATGAAGTTTGTCATATAGGTTTATGGATGGACTCATAGTCCAAAATGTACATACACTGAACAAAAAATAAAAACACAAGCATGTAAAGGCAAGACTTTTCTTTTATTAATTCCACCATAAAATCGAAGTATTTTAAAATTCAATTGTAAGGGGAAATCACTTAACTTTGTTCACATCAAAAAATTGATCAATATTCTTGAAAATATTTCGATCGGAAATTTGAAGAAGTTTAGAGGAAGCGCAATTTTGTCCCTGTTTTCTGAAAACTTGATTTTAAGTCGTTTTTGCTGCTGTTTTTTTGACAGAATGGTTCAAATACAAAAAATAAATTCTCATGCACTCATCTAGAGTTCTACATTTTTTAGATAAATCTTTCGAAATTTTAATATTCTTGATTGTAGCAAATCCCAAGACATGTTATTCCTCTCGCAGTCAAACATCGTACTCCAAGATGTAGTGATTAAAGGCCTTTTGCCAATCATCGAGAGTTAGTGACTTGAATTTAGGACTCTTTCTTTATTTACCTTGTTCCAGGTCTAATTTTTGTTTCAGGAGGCATTTTAATGTTTAGGTATTTAAAAGTTTAATTTTTTAAGTTATTAATTTATGTAGGATATCCATTAGTTTTAAGATGCATCGTCTTTGTAAATTGATTCGACAGTATGATCTTCACTCATTGCATCACTTTTTTAATTTTTTATAAAGCAAATGATGTTACCAAACGACTATTCTCAATAAACCATAGTTATATAAATAATTTAACCGTCTATTTTTTGTATGTCTTTCCATCAGTCTTTTAGGAAAAAAAGTAAATGAGTAAAGAAGAAAAAATCTGATAACTTACATGATTTTACTTTCGGAGCAAAAATGGTTTTTAAATCTTGCAGCAGGTCTTAAATCAGTCACTTACTAGTCAAGAATCTAGTAATCTTGTCACACAAGGTTGCGAGAACTCGGGAAATTTCTCCATTTTTTTATAGTTGCAGAAATCTTACAGTAAGCGAGCAATAGGGAATTTATTCGCCAAGCTGTGCAAAAGATTGCTACAAGATTCAATGTTAATGTTTGCTGTAAAAGGTTCAGGTGCAAACTCTGCAGCAAGATTGATGCATGCTGCATATTTTGTAAGATTAGATACAGGAGGATTGCAGCATAATTTCAATCCAAGCTGAAAAGTTGCCTTGTTAGAAATCTTGTCACGATCGGAACTGAGGTCAAGAAGCAAGTCTTCAATCTTGCAGCAGTTTAGTTGCAAGTCAACATTGTTCTTACTTGGTACTGCCTTGCTTTATAATATTTAAGAAGAGCCAAACAATTCCAAAGCATTGAAATTACCAGTCGGTAAAAAGGCTCTTTCTGAGGTTGAAAATTGAAAACTAACTTTCTAGGAGGGTAAAGAAAGAATTTGCACCAAATATCTTGTAGGAAATGAATTTTAAAAAAATTATCCCCTAAACGTGAATCCATAATCATGGACTCCAGTGAAGTCTATTGATGACTTCGAAGAGGGGTCTAACTCTGAGCTCTTAATCAATTTTAGTACCTGTTAGGCACCTTTTATCAATTTTTTGACCCGCAGTTTTTTTTATTATATGTATCTAAGTCAAGGAAACATTAAAATTTCATAAGGTGGTAAAAATATACCCTAGGTTACAACACTTCAACTGCAATATCCCAAGTAACTAGCACATGTTGCAGTAAATTGCACTTGGATTGTATAATTATCGTTACTGTATCGTATCGGAGTGTTGTATAATATGTTGCCTATTCTTTAATTGAAGGGGCACCTTTCATTGACAATTAAAATATCAATAAGTTGATTTTTTTTTTTTTGCAAACTCCTTACCTTACTCAAAAATGCCGCCCATTTTATTCATTATTTAAAACCTGCACTGATTGACCGAATGGTGAAAAAAAATTGCTTTACAGCATCAAATCGCAAAATTATTTCAATGTTCTTGTTACACTGTGCTATCTGGGATTATGTCATTGGTTGTGGATTGTGTCATTCGTCTTGAAATTTCGAACGATATTATACACACAGACGCACGTAGTGGGAAAGGGGTACACTTGAAGGGTTGCCAAAAACACCTTCGATAAGCAAACGCTAGATACCTACTTAAAAAAAGAAAAACCACACAGATTTTATCTCCAGAGTTTTAAAGACGCTTGCTGTTTAGAGAAAATTAAACCGGGGAAAGCTGGGAGATAGAAAAACAGGAAATGATGGAATTAAACAAAAATCAGTCGATACTATTTCCACAATGTTTTATTAAAACGCTATCATGTGATAAAATCTCCGAGATGGCGTCTAAGTACCTAGGTTGTAGACTCCCTTGAATCCAGAACAGTGTTCCCGGGTGCTCCGTGTTTGAAATCCGTACACGCTCTGCTGCTCTCCGCTCTGCCATTGGCTGTTTCGTCATTTTGTGACGTCACGCGTACGGACAAGTTAACTAAAGCTAAGGAAAAATGCCGTATGAGCCTTCGGGCGTTGCCAAGTTCCCTTCAATTAAAGCCGAAAAAATGGTGACATTTGTGAATATTTGTTTCCGAAATTTTCAGACAATTTTGTACGCAATTGAATCTAAAATATCTGAAAATTTCAAGGAAAAATACGCATGAATGCTGTCAAAAATACATGTTTAATCAAGGGAAATTTGGCAACTCTCGAATGTTCATACGGCGTTCTTCCTCAGCACGGCAGTTAAGCTAGGAAAGCGTTTTACTACAAAGTTTTAGTCCGTATGTGGTCCGTGCCGGTACGGGGGAGGTTCGCACGCTTGGGATCACCGATTTAGAATACCTACCCACTGGGAGTTGCTGTACGCTTCAAAAACGTCATCATCGTGATCATCGTGATTGGAGAAGGTGGTCAGATCCATAAAATTGTGTCCTAAGCCCATCACAATCAGAGCTCACCGCAGTCGCAAGGACACGGATTTCCAAGCGTGGCTTTGACACATGTACATGTGACAGGTGTGGGAATACAAGAGATATTCAATTGGAGTAGCCCCGAATAGTCGAATACATCTGTAAAATTGAAGCCCGGGTCCACTGGATTGCATGGAGCGCCGGCCGCCACTTCGGCAATTGTGAATAACGCCTCGGCCTCCAGTTTGTCGATGATCGCAGTCGCCCCATCGCAGAGCCCCTGTAAGGCGGCCTTGGCACCGTCTAATTCAAGCGTCAACTTTTGAAATAAAAAGTAGCTCAGTTAGTATAGAGAAAAGGAAATGATAAGTAAGACAAATGGATCACTAGACAAGGTACGAGTTTAAGCATTCTGATACATGAATCTTAACCAGAATTTCACGTGGAAAACGATTCGCGCAACGGAAATTACTGAAACCAACTCCTAACAGAGATATTAACATTTTTATTTTACATTGGTTAAGAGGAATTTGAACTGCCCGCTCACAAGAAACTCAAAGCTCTACGTGAGTTAAATCACGCACTACAATGGTTTCAGCAAGCTTCTTAATCGAGCAATGTTCATTTTCCACCATGTGTTTTTTAAACTATGAGTAATTTGCTATAGCTGAGCCAAAGCGTCAAAATTGAGGTTGCCAGATTTTTATATCGCAGAGACTGTCATGATAACGTTTAGCGCACGATGAGAATCACGTAGAGCATTGAGTTTTCATGAGCGGGTGATTTGAATTCACGCATCAAGAATCATTCAATATCTTCGTTAGGAGTTAATTGCGATAATTTTTGCTGTGCGCATCGTGTTCTACGTGAAATTTTTGTTACGAAACATGTATCAGAATGCTGAAATTCGTACCTTGTCTAGTAGTCCATTATTGAAAAAAATTATCCCAAGTGCGGTAAAGTGGTCTAATTACACTTCTTGTTAGTTTTCTTTTATATAATATATGACCAACCGACCAACACGTGAAAATTTTCATCGTGCGCTTTAGACCTAAGAAGCAACGTTTTTAAACAAATTGGTCAATAATGCCCGCTGAAAGCGATCACACGATCAGATGGAAGATAAATAAGTTGCACTGCAAAGTAACTTGCAAAATTTATTGCATGAAGTTTTACGATGACAGCCCCTTCAATTGCTAGACAGGCAACTTACGCAACATTATGATGCAGTAGGTCGCGAAACTTTCATCTTTAATGGTAATGAATTGCACTGTGTGCTACTTGAAGCCATTAAGAGAATATACAAGTTTATATAGAGAATAATAAGTTTCTTGATATTTCCCCGTCTTTCTAAAGATTTTGGGCGTGTTACGCCATACGAGGCGAAAAAATCTCAGCATTTCATCTGTGTAGGCAAAGTAGATCTAAGAGTGCGATTAGTACTATTTGTATTTTAAATTTATCATTTACCTTTGCGGCATTTACAGGTTGGAAAGTCTCCGCCGCTAATCTGGCCTTATCCAAGATCGCGAAGGCTCCTGCGCAGGCCGGATCCTTAAAGGCGAAGTATTCGGCGACTACTTTTTTAACGTATGCGGCAAGCGTGCCCAGTTGCCCCTGACTGATACAGTTGATTTGGCCGATGGAGGGTAGGGTTGCCGGTGGATCGAGGGTCACAGCTCCAGCCCCGCAGATGAGGAGCAGAGTTAGTGTCAATAAGCTTTTCTGTACCATCGTCCTGGGGTCCGGTAAAAGCTGCGCTGCGGGTTTGAGGAAAAGTGGACTGAGCTTTTCGGTGACTAGTAGCGCCGCTTTTATAGGCGAAAGGCCGTCTGAGTTGAGATAGCGCGCGAGCACAACGATTGCCGCACACCTGAGCTTCGCCGCTCAGGTGCACGGGTGTGCGACAATCGACTAAGGCAAGTGCAAGTGCACAACAGCCGCTTTCCGAATATCTCGTCTTCACTACGCTAAGGAAGAACACAGAATGAACATTCGCATGTTGTCAAATTTACCCTCCGAAAAAAGTTTTTTGGGGAAAGTTATGAATGCTTTCCATTGGAATTTTAAGGAGATCTAGATCATATTATGAACGAAATTCTCTTAACAATCGGAAGGAGGAAATCAATCGGAATTGATAAACTACTTACTTAAGTTCTGAGCTTAAAGCATCGTATATGCTAATATAGTTTATCATTTTATAAAAAATTTACTTCTCTAGATCCTTTCGTATTGTAGCACAGAATTAAAAAATCAAAGATATAAACTGATCTGGCTTATAATGTTTTATTCAAAATTTGAGTCTTTGGTTAAACGATATGATTTAGATAATCAAGTTATGGAGCCTTTTGGACAATTTTACCTTTAGTTATTTTAGTTTTTTTAGCTTTTCCCTCTATTCGCAAACTTGCCAGAAACAAACTTACAAATTTGCCAGAAAATTTGTGACAGTTTCGCAACGTCTGAGGGCTCACGCGGCGATTTTCCATGGCGAGGTAGTCCTATTCTTTGAAAAAGATTGAGCTTATATTTTCATTGTCATGTGAAAACTTTCTTTGGATTAGAAATTAGAAAGTTGCTTTCTTCTTCTTCTTCCTTCAATTACCCACTATACTATGAGAATGCCCCACAATTCGTCGCTTCTCTGTCTTGGGGGTGTATCTCGATTTTCGCATGAGCTGCAGAGAGCATGGATTTATATTTGAAATAGGGCTCACGCGGATATCAAGATACGCCCTTACGTCGCACAAGGGTCAAGTCAATAGGTGAGGTCGGACAAAATGTGGAAACTTCAAATGCTTTTAACTCCGTTAATACAAAATTTCGAGGTTCTAGAAGTGGTTCCATTGGTTTCCTTGTAAAATTTTTCTCTGAAATCACTCCTTAAAATTTAAAATAAGGAAAAATAAACATGAAAATTTGCAGTTTAAGTAAAAAATTTCATGTCCGACCTCTCTAATTGACTCGATCCATTGTGCGTAGGAGGGGTGACGATTAGGTACTCACAGACTGTCCCAAATGTGAAATTTCGTCAGTCTTATAATCGTGTTTTGATGCTTTCAGCTCGTAGTTCCTAAGGCCAATTTTAACAGAGATATTCGCCCTTCGAAAAACATTATCCACCGCAACATTTTGCAATTACTGACTGCATTTCCTAGCTCATCCATAGTGACATATATCTGCATAAGAATACTATAATGGCACATATGCTGTTTCTAAAATGAACCAAACACTGTAGTTCTTGTAGTTGCAAAACGTCCCTGGTAAAAATTGGCAGTAGAATCTGTGTTCCAAAATACCATAGACCCACAGCCGTCTGTAAGATTTCCAATAGCTTCTATAGCCGGCTACACAATTTCTTATCGCCTTTTACAGCCGATGGTGATTAAGCAACAGCCAGGCGATAAAGTGTATGCTAAACGTTACTAATTACGGATGCTAGGACTAAGTGAGTTTTTGGACTACTGCTCTCTTTTTGGGCCGTAGTATCTTGATTTATTTTGTGAGGAAAGCTCCGTACTTTTGATAGATGCCTGCCATTCCTAATATATTAGAGCGCCTTCAGTTTTGTATGATACTGTGCAATACCTCTGGTGTGAAATAGTTGCTTCAAGCGCCATGGCACGCCGCGGCGCTACAGGCGGGAAGCCAGCGCGAAACGCGCATTGGCGCCTACAAACCTAACAGGGATACTTCACGCATTGCGCAATGCGTGAAGTATCCCTGTTAGGTTTGTAGGCGCCAGTGTGCCGCCGCTCCGCTTTGTGTTAGGCTCTAATATTTAATCTCGCGGAGTCGGCGTTTTTCAACTCATAATTTTGAAATGTTTGCACATCCTGTATGGATTATTCTCATTTTAATTGATGAAAAAAAATATGCATTAAAGGAAAATATAATGTGTTATTTGTAAATATTAAGGTGGTTCCGTATCAAACTTAATGATTTCCAAAGCACACGAATTTCTACACAATTTCTTACAGCCTTTAATAATCGATGGCGAAAAAGCAACAGCCAGGAAATAAAGTGTAAAGCCCGGCGATAGGAACTATAGCCCGGCTGCATAATTTTTTATTGCTTCGTATAGCCCGGCCGTATGATTTTCTCCACATTCTACAGCCAGTTATATGATTTTCTGTAGCCTTCTTTAGCCGGCTATAAGAATTCCTATGGTATTTTGAAACGCAGCTCTTATCGCCAATTTTTACCAGGGGTAGTCAACATAATGGTACTCAACCGAATTTCAGCCTTATTTATTGTTTTTCGTTTGTTTTAATTTCCTACTGAAGTCTGACGAGTTTGAGAGTGCAAATGTAATTGACCTGAAGATGGACACAAATAGTTCGAAATTATCATCTTCACCTAATTCATCAAATTTCAGCATGATCGGGACCAAGAAAAATAAAGTAAGTAACCTGCCACCATGCAACCCGATAAAGTACCCAAACATTTCCAAGTAATGATACATACATTTTCTCATTTTCTTTACTCTATTTAAGACACGGGCAGAACCGAGATGGAAGCCATGGTATGTGCACCACCGCGGTTGATGACGTCATACTTTATGTTTTTGAAGGGCAATAGTTCCAATCTTCGAGGCCGGCTCTGGGCTGATACCGTTGCTCTTCTGGCGTATGGACGTAACACTATTGTGCCGTGCTAAGGAAAAACGCCATATGCACATTCGAGAGTTACCAAATTTCCTTCGATAAAATATTTATGTTTGAGGAAAGTTATGGATATTTTTCCTTTAAATTTTCAGAATCTTTAGGATGAATTGCGAACAATATTATCTAAAAAATTGGGAGGAAAATAATTATAAGTTTACCAAAAAATTTGCGTTTTATCAAAGGAAATTTGGCAACGCCTGAAGGTTCATTGGGCGTTTTTCCTTAGCGCGGTGGTTTCTTTAGCGGACCACATCGTGCAACTAGGAATATCTAGCCAATTGTAAATGCAACATAGGTGCCATTGGGTCCATGCAGATAGGTGCTTTTATGTATGAGCTAGAAATTGTAGTTCCTTATAGCAAAATGCAGTCCATTTGTAAGTACCACTCGTGTTTGTCGTACTGCGTCAACCGTACCTCTAGGTAACCATGTATTTGCTCCGTAATCTAAAATGCCCCTTCAATCCGATATGACGCAACACATATTACCCAACCGTAGATTAAAGGACCGCACCTAAAGGCCTTAAAGGCGTTTGGGTGTCGTAGAACGCCAGAGTGCGTGATAAAGCGACTTTATATATATATATATATATGTATATATATATATATATACCTAATATCATGCAGTCTTGTAGACCAAAAAATTACTATTAAATCTAAATTTTCGAATGATCTTTTTTGAAGGAAGAAATGAAATGACAAATAACAAAGGCGTGAGTCTTTGTATATTCACATTTTATATTTACAAACATGTACATATTTTATACAGAACAATTCGACAATTAACAGTAATACTGCATCATTTACACAATTTGAGATAAATAATTCATCAGAGCAATTAAAATTTGAATCCGGAAGTAAGAATTATTGATTTGAATACAGGCATGATATTTATATGAATTGGAAAGGTATTTGAGTTCAGCACCCACATAAATACCCCGTATCCTTTCAGTTACATTTATATTTTTTTTTTTTTCTAAAATTTTGAATAGGAACTAAAAGTGCATTTTGTGGAATATCATATTTTCGTTTATTGCCACTTTTAAAGTGCACACGATACTCATAAAGAATAAAAATATCACAGTTTTCCTTAAATATACGAGTACTTTGATTAACCTCAGATGCATCGAACCCTTAATTTTTCACATAAAAAAGTTGTCGAAAAACACAACAATTGATAAAAGTCAGGAGATCATTCCTGGCAAAACATGCAATATTTTTTTCCAGTTTAATTTTTAAATTTAGAAAAAGCAAAAAAAGAAAAAAGAAAAAGAAAATAAGAATAAAAGCTAACAGCACCCTTAAATTACAGACAGCAAAATAAACATGAAATCTGTGCAATAACGACAAAATAGACGTACAAGAAGAGATACTTTTAAACGAGCTTCATCAAGAAAAGCGCAAACTAACGATCGAAAAAGTGGAAAGATTTCAGCTGTGAACACCAAAATAATCCTTCAATTTTGACACCCCGCTTTGAACCAAACACCAATTTTTTTATTGTGACGATAGTTATCAATGAAAATGCGTGACAAATACACTTAGGTACTCATACACGCTGAATACACATCTGACCTCAGAAGAACCAACATCATATTTTCAGGAGTTAGAGGGAAGCTTGGAGTTTTGAAGAGGTATTTTTTAGGAAAACGAAACAGAACAACAAAGTTTTACTTTGACCCCAATATTGATTCTAAAAATATTCGTCTTTTGAGACACCCTGTATGTTTGAGTATGTCGACGAGTAAGTTCGAAACCACGTATCTTCATCATGGTGTTTCGAAATTTCACCCTTCACATAGGAGCAGTGGCTGTTGAGAAAAGTTGTAAAAAAAACTTGTAAAAAAAAAGCACTTGAAAATTACGTAAAAAACCTCTTGAAATATGCGTATCAAGAGATCCTTTTTAGGACTCTTTTTACATAGAATTGAAGAAAATTTTTAAGTAAATTTTCTTACGTAAATTTTAAGTATAATTTAAGTAATGTTTTTAAAAACTTCCTGGCAAAAACGAGGGAAAAAAGTGGTGCACAGAAAAGTATAAAGGAAAAGTTAAAGCCCATAAAAATTGAGGAAATAGTTTGTTGATTTTTGCGTAAACTTTACGTTTTCTTTTAATTAAAATAACACTATTTTTTATTTAAAAGCATTCCCCAAAAGAGAGTCCTAAAACGAGTATTTTTTGGGTTTTTTTTACTCAAAATTTACGAACTCTTGAATTTTTCAAGTTTTTTACATTTTATTCGACAACTTTCTGTAGAATTTTTTTAAAGAGCTATGGCTACTGGGGCAGCTCCAGTTGTATTGATTCGAAGAAGAACGAGCCAACTAGCTTGAAATTTATACAAAATATTCTGCTACTGAAGAAAAAGAATCAGGGCAGTTATCAATAAATTACGTAGACTAGTTCAAACGAGGTACGACAGGAGGATCACAAGGTCGCAAACGGAGATTCGTGGTTTCGTACTTCAGCCGTCGATTTTCTATCGTACCAAGGAAGAACGCCGTACGAAGATTCGAGAGTTGCCAAGTTTCTTCGAAGAAAACATGCATTTTTGAGGAAACGCATGCATATTTCTCCTTGAGATTTTTAGATATTTTAGATGAAATCGAGATCAAAATTGCACGTAAACTATGAGGAAAAATTTACACAATCCCCCATTTATTCCAGTTTTCATTGGAGAAAATATGGCAACGTCTAAAGGCTTATGCGGCGTTTTTCCTAAGCCCGGTTATTGGTGGATCCAGCAACTTTGCAACATTGTCTTTTCTCCATTACAACCTATGGAAATGTATCGATTCTTGGAGGGGCCAGGTGCTCGGACAAGAATCGATATTTAGATGGAGGAAAGCCGGTGTCGCCAAATTGCTGGATTCGCCTCTGAACCCGGTTGAATTACCTTGAGTCCCTTTACACCGAGAGTTGAGACAACACCCCCTCATGGAGTCACAAACGAGAATAAAGATTACACAAATTGAACGTTGTTCGTAATCGTTGGTCGGCTCATTCTCAAATTCCTTTCTCCATTCCTTCTCTCATTCCATTTGCTCCTTATCAAACATGTAATTCCTCGATCCATTCCAGATTATAATCTTTGCAGTTGGTGAAAACGTAATCTTTATTCCCGTTCGTGACACCGTGGAGGCCTAAAATACGGTAACCAATCAGAAATGGATTCACATTGCCTTAACTCTCAGTATAAAGGGCAGAATATCTTTTCCGCACAAAGTACATTTAAGGTAATTTTTCGATTATCGTTGCCGCACAAAATCATTTTCTCACAGATCAGATCTCAAACATCTGGCAACATCGCAATCTCTCACTGATTTTTCTTAAATATGCCTCATATTTTTCTCGGCGTTGCCACATATACTACAGAAAATTATCCGTGCGAAAATGATTTTGTGCGGCAACGATAATCGGAAAAATTCCCACAAATGTACTTTGCGCGGAGAAGATAGTCAGGCCTATAAAGGGACTCCAGAATCACCTCCGGGCCTACACGATAGTCTCACTACCGGCGTGTTTGTGGAGGATCTTCTTCGTCCTGGGGTGAGTGTGCGTGTGTGCGTGGGCCTGGGGGTGGTAATACTGTATAGTCTGGTGACACTTGACGGGAGTCGTCTTGTACCTGGGCTCGAGCTTCTTCCAGAGGCGCCTCCAGACCTGGAGGGATCGCGGGGAGGATACCCAGGCGCTGACGACGACGCCGGTGACGAGGGACATGAAGATCCGGGTAAGGAAGACCCAGAGCTGGGGCCTCGGCTGGGCCCGCGGCGTGGCCGACAGGACGGCCAGGAGCCACTCTTCCCGGAGCCAGAGCTCGTAGAGGTGCGAGAGGAGGACGCAGACGGCCGGCATCCCGCAGATGAGGCAGAACACCCCCACGTGGGCGTCCGGCGACACCCGGTCTTTCCCCGATTTCCCGGAGCAGGAGCGGTACTGCGTCAGGTAGCCCACCCCCAGGAAGGACATCCCCAGGATGAGGTAGACCAGCTGGGGCACCACCACCAACACCAGCAGCGCCTGCGAGCTCTGGTTCCCGATCGAGCAGATCCCTGAAACATGAAAGAAAAATATCTTTAAGAAAATTTCAACACGTCAACCATTTAGTTTACGATGATGGTTATTTAGATGACGTGAATGACAATACCATCATATAGACGTATTTCTATCAAACGGAACTAAGCGCCATCGGGAGAGGAAGGGAGAGGGGGGCTTGGATTGGCAGGTGTTGCGGAACGCGATGCTCGTTCCGTCCTATACTTGCAATGCTTTTCCATGGCGCTTAGTTCCGTTTGACAGAACGCGCTATCCGGGATTCTAAAATCCTAAAAAGGAACTCAATTTGGCGTTTAGTTCCGTTCAACAGAAATACGTCCATATCATTGTGCTAGCATTATGCGTTCTGATAAAATAATAAAATCAGATTCGACATAAAAAGGAATCAAATTGTCGGATCAAAAATACTGTGAAAAACGCAACGTGGAGGAAGCTAAGGAAAAACGCCTTCAACTCGGAAGTTATGCCACCACCGCAACGGGGAAGTTCGAATAGTTGCGTCACCTTCTTGCTATAATGCTACATGCTATTAGAGTTGAGACTGATGATGAAAGGACTTAGAATCAGTGACATGAGCAGCACTTGGCGACTGTCACGAGTTGGAAAAACAATTTGTGGCTTGAAAACGGTACGTCCTCCCATGAAAACAAGATCAACATTTAGGCAAAATTTTGTCGAAAAATTCAACAAGGCGGATGGATTTAAGCCTAGTAATGGGGGAAAACAATATGCACAATTTTAGCAACACCCAATGTTCCTCACCAGCTTCAGAATTGGGCGTATCTATTCTAAATGGAACTATTCGCAAATGGTAAGATGGGTTTCGCTCGTTGCCGTGCAACGAAGCCGTCTCCAACGTCGTTCTTGCTCGGCTTTAACTCATGAGCCCTGTCTACAACGCTCTCGTCCCATGCCCATGGCTCACAAGTCAGCGCTCAGTTCCTTTTGCTTTAATGTAAAATCCCGCTTTTCCACTTTCTCAGAAGGAACTATATCCACTTTTACATTGTTTCTCATCTAACTTACCACGATCACACCCCATCTTTTCACTTGCTTATAGTTCCTTTTAACATAAATACGTCTAACATTCATTCTCAGTTCTCAAATTCCATCACTGAAAAAAAAAGTTCGGTAAATCCGAACTAGTTAAAGGATCATATGGAACCACGATCCGAATTATTCGGTCTGCTCAGCCGAACTGTTCGGTCCACTGAACCGAACTGTAAGAATTTATTATGGTTCGGTCGCACAAACCGAACAATTCGGTTGAACAGACCGAATAATTCGGTTGTGTGTACCGAACAAAACCTGGTTCCATAATATGATCCTAACTAGTTCGGATTTACCGAACTTTTTTTTTTTCAGTGCAAGCTTTTTTCTCATTTTCCCAGTAATCTACAAGTACCTATCAAAGGAACTTAGGATTCCAACACATACTAGTAACCCAATTCCAAAATCTATCAACACCATGCTGCGTTGGATCCCAGCAAAGTTTACCATCTCACTCCAGCCGAGGAGAGGTGCTCGGGTGCGTATAGGGAGGAAGCACGATGCGTTGGCCTAAGCACGCAGTGGCGCGCGATCCCACGGAAAGTCACCCGACCTCATTACGACCTTTTCACATGCCACCTATCCGCAGCGCTTGCTCAAATATTATAACGAGATGAATAGATTAGGGGCCGGGGAGCCGTCAAACGGCCGGTAATTGAAACAACTGGAATCGGCCGATAAATAATACTGCGAAAGCGATGGCCGAACTCTCTCTCTCCCCCTCTCTCTCTCGAAAAAACCATGCGAGGGGGTGCGGAGACGCTGAATGGCCTTATTAATTACTCGATAGTAAGAGAGCCATGAATCGATCGGGAAATGGAAAACATTTAAATACAAAGAATCAGATGTAAGCGGGCGATAAGGGCGGGAGGGGGTGGCCCTGTCTTCGTGGCTAATACAATGGGGCGTATTTCTGCCAAACGGAACTATGTGCATTAACAGCCGAGCCCTGGGACCCATAAGAATATGTGTACAACAGGGCTCACGTTATAATGAACAGAGTTCCGTTTGATAGAAATACGTCCAATGATGAATACTAATGAGGGCGTTCGCTCTGCGCGAGTCCCAGTCGAAGATGCATGGGGCATGAGGCGCGCTGTTGCGCCGGGGCCGGCACATTGTTCGCCAGTGGTTGATGACACCGGTGACCGTGGCCGTGGTGACCAGCCTCCTTCGACCCGAGTGTTCTGCCTCTGCCTCCGACTACAGGTCCGACTTGGACCCGATAGCGGCGATGTGATGCCCATGCCGGCCACGGCCGGCCGCCGCGGCCAGTTCAGCCGCTCGGGCTTCTTTATCGCCGCCTCATCGGAAAACGCCCGGCCGGACCGCCACAGCCACCTTTGCCAATTTTCCCGCGGCCCCACGCAGCCCCCCCCCCCATCACCTCTCCCTCCACTCGTTGGAGCTTTGCATGCAGTTTCCACTAGAGTGCCTGCGTACGAGAGAATATTGCCATCTCTGTGCCGCTCTCTTATAGGGTTGCAATTTTTCACGAAGAAGAAAATCTTGAAATCTCATGTGAAATATCTCATGAATTTCAGAAAAATATGAAAAATATTGAAAAAGACCTTTCGAAATTAGACGCAAAATTAAGTGAATGGCGACTGGTTCTTGCTTTTCGGTGTTGTTTAGTGCGTGTTGCATACCCAGCCCCTGAAAATATGTTTCGCATGTTTCATATTTTTTACGACTCTGTGAAATTTCATGAAATATATCACGGAAATTTTCAATGTATCATATTTTTCATTTCACCTCTGCATCTCTGCTCTCTGATTGGTTCATCAGTTTTAGGATATCATGGAGCTCCAAAGTTGGACCAATGTAAACAAACCCGACCCAGAGGAACACGTAACATTGGCTGAGAAATGATTGATAATCACACTCAAAGCTTAATTTTCGGCAAAAATATTAATCAAAGATCGATCCGAACGCAATTCAGAAGTTGCATATAAAAAAAATGTCGAACACACCCATAAACACGTCTAGAACTTTGTCGTCATATTGTTTGTTTACATTGGTCCAAACTAGGAGCGGAGGGGCTGGGGTTCGTCTACAGTAGTCCAACTTTGGGGCTCCGTGATAGCTGATCAATCAGGGAGCGGCACACTTTTTCTGTATTAAAAGAATTGAGATGGAAATACTCTGTAAACAGGTACTCTAGTTTCCACGGACTTTCGATTTCGACATACTTGCGGGCAGAAATGGAAAATTTCATGAAATTTATTCGTGTGTCGTTGTCGAAATTTAACGTGTGAAATTTTATGAAATGTTATGAAACTTTTGGGAGTGCAAACAAGAGGCCAATATAGGCCTAAAAATAGTGATTCTCGATTTTGACATTTTTCACCCCGAGCTTAAAGCATTCACGCGTTGTAATTGGACCGCGTTTGGCAGACAGGAACCAAACCGCATCAGCTATTGCCATATTTAATAGGGAAATTTATTTTTTTAATTAAATACGATTGTGCGGATTTTGAAGAAAATTTCGGTGAATTGTTCACAGTACGAAGCAATTTCCTTGAAATTTTCAAAGGAATCAACACAAACGTTCTATTGTAAAAAATTAATTTATCCACTTATATTCGGCAATAGAAGATGTGGCATGGTTCCTTTCTATTGAAAGCGGTCCAATTTTTTTCATTTGCTTCAGAGGTTGGATTGGGGCTAAATTTCTCTCTGAGCTCCCCCTTCTGCCCCCCTTCGTGTACAGCACCAGTGGCGTAGCGTGCTTTGCGAAATATCGATCGATCTGCCATTTAAACCTATGGTAAAGAATCGATTATTAAGGTGTTCACTGCGGACACCCCGTTTATCGATCCTTTTCCATAGGTTTAAATGGCATACGAATCGATAAATCGCAAAGCACACCACGCCACTACTGTACAGCACCTCAGTAGGGTAGTATAATACTGCCGAATCAACAGAAAGACCATCTGAAACGCTCTCTGGACTTCCAAAGGTGTAATTAATAATTCCGATAAAAATTAAAAAATTTCAAATTTTGTGAAATTTATTCGAGTCTTTTGAAATTACGTGAACTTTCCCATTTCATCTCTGCTTGTGGGTCCACTCACTGAGAAGAACTTTAGTCGCGAGCGCTGCAGACTGAGGAATTAGTGGCAGTTTTAAGACTCAACAATCCGAGTGGCCATTGAGGGTGCTGGCTGTAGCAAAAGGTGCATCGAAGGGGATCCTCACCTTTATTTTGACCGCGTTTAGCAGAAAGGAACCAAGCAATATCAGCTTTTGCCAAATTTAACTGGACAATTTAATTTTCTTACAAGATAACGTTTGTGCGGACTCCTTTGAAAATTTTAAGGAGTTTCCTTCGTTATGCAAAACAAAAATTCACTGAAATGCACACAAATCCACACAACCGTTTTCGTGTGAAAAATTGACTTTAAAAATTAAATTGGACAATGGCTGATCTGGCTTATTTGCTTTCTGCTTAAAGCGGTGAATTTGACTTTTGCTCTTACCACTGTCTCTTATGAGAACATCATCTTGTGAAGGCGCCGAGTGCAACGCACGTCGCGTCGCATCGCATCGTTACGAGGGAGGAAAAGAAAACTAGAGCGCCTTCAAATTTTCGTTTATGCAACGCGGACATCCCTTAAGTTCGAATAGTTGCATCAAGGCGCCAACATGAACTCCTTATCACGTATCGGGTTGAACGCTTTGACCAAGCTGTTTGAAAGCGTGCTGCTGACTCTTTTTTTAAGTATTGTTCGCAAATAATTGAATGTAGTTAATAAATCCATAATTTGATCATTTTCATAACAGAAAGGTGTTCGATTGCAATCTAGATGTTTGCAGGTGTCTGAAATTTGATGAATTCCATGTTTTGGTGGAAACTACTGATTGTGAGTGAACTGAAGACAAGGATGATCTTGGTTCATAAATGGAGCAATTATTGGAGGAGTTGTGGCAAAATGATCCAATT